ATTATTTATATAATATTAAATTATATATTAATATTAATATATAGCAGCTATAACAACTTCATGATATATTATCATTCGATATATTAATTTATAATATATGATTGAAGATATATATACAACGTCGTAATTAAATGATCAAGATGATAAACTTGCGATCATACTGCAGATATCGCGTCCACCTAAAAAAAAGCTCAGAGAGAAAATAACTTTCTCCAGACTTCACATAAATCAAAGTTTTATAATTTATCACATATTTAACTAGTATGACTACAAAATCACATATAGGGATTGCTTTTGTACTCTTATCCATAGTGCTGATTGCATTCCATTTGAGAAAGAAATGGTGTATGTATCCTGTTAAAGTTTTAAACGGATTTGTTTACAAGGGAAGTTTAAGGGAAAAAACTAATTAAATTTATTAGATCCAAAATTGAAAACATGGCTTGGGAAAAGAAGAATTAGACTTGATGGATATAGTTCATTACCTTCATTTCAAAGAGATATTGAAAGTGGATTAACATCTGATAATTTTGATCTTGAACAAAACAATTTAAATGATTCAAGAAAAGGTCTTGATGAACATTCAAAAGCAAGGATACTTAAAATAATGAATGATAATCCAGGTACTAGTTTTGATGAAGCAAGGCTTAAGTATACACAAGAAGAATTGAAAAAGAATCAAATAGGACCAGATGGTATGCCATTAGATCCAAGGGCTGTTACTTTTTCAAAATGATGATTTATTTTTATTATGATTGAGGGAAATACGGATATATTTTTTTATTATGTTATTTATTTCAAATTGTTCGTTATTAATATATGTACTATGTTTTGTTCTTATTTATTTATTGTTCTTTTTGCCTTTCAATTATTCATCTAAAAATTCATACAGTTCTTTTGAAATTGGGGTATCATTATCAATATAAGCACCAAGATATTTAATTGAAGAAAAAGATCTTGGTAAAGTTTTAAAAGTTTCTGAATTTTTTAATCCTTCATTAATAATAACTGAATTATCTAAAACACCTGCAAGATATCCAAAAGATTCATCATTAACAATATTTAAACCTTGAGAATCTTCATAAAGTCTAGAATTTAATAAACTTGGTGAAGCCCATATTAAACTATTTAATTCAAAATTTTCTGTTGATTCAGTATCTAAATGTTCAGTAAGACTTGGTTCATTTGGTAATTGTTGTCTGTTATTAAAATTCAATTGTTCATTAAGTGGTTCAGTTTGAACTTGATCAAATGCTTTATTTAATATAATACCTCCAGAATGTTTTGATCTCGGATCAGTTGATAAATAATCAAATGAATGTTGAGATTGAGGTTCTAAAGTTTCAAATTGTGGGAAATCACCAGTAATACTCTTTGGTGTATAGAAAACATCTTCAATTTGATTATTTTCATCATCTAAATCCTCTAAAGATTCATAACCAATTTTTAAAATATTAACATTAAAATCATCATCTAAAGAATTAAAAGTTGGAATTTTATTTGAAATTGAAGATTCAGAATCTTGAAAATTTTGAGAATTTTGTTCATTATTTTGTTGAATTTGTTCATTCATTAAATTATTAGATCTTGGTTTTATAGAATCATCATCATTTGATTCATTATTATTCTTGGATTTATTTTTATTATTTATTGAAAAATGCTTTGCAATAGGTCTTTGAATAGGTTTTAATAAAGGTTCTGCAATAGCAGTACCCAAGATTGGTTTTTCAGATATATTTTCTGGAGAACTTGGAATAATTGAATTTGTAGTACCAGGACTTGGTACATAAGGACTTGATTGATTACTTAAAATTTGATTATTAGGAATTTGAGGAGGACTTTCAAAAATTAAATTTTCAGGAATTTTTGGATTTTTCAATTGATTTGAAAAGTTATCTTCATTTAAATTTCTGGTTTTAGAATTAATTTCTTTATTTGAAATTTGACTTCCAATACTTGTAACTCTAAGAGCAAAATTTCTTGAAGAATTATCTCTTGATAATAACCAATTTTCACTTTTATAACCTTGACGTAAAGTTTCAATATTTGGAGAAATATCTAATTGATCATCTTGATAATCATCATCATCAAAAATTGGAGTCATTGAAGATTCAAAAGTTGTACAATCTTCCATTGAAGAATTTAATAAATCATTTTCAATTTCACTTTCATCATCATCAGAAAAATTTTGAATTTTTTTCTCAATTGGATGGAAATTATTTGTTGATTGTTGAGGTTGACTTATAATTTTAGTATTATTTGTTAAATTTTTAGTTTCAGAAGATGAATCATTTAATTTTTTTGACTTTTTAGATGAAAAAATTTGTGATAATCTATTTTTTAATTTATTCTTCTTTAATGAATTATTTTTCTTTAATGAATCATTACCAGTTTTAATAGTTTTTTCAGGAACTTCTTTCTTTGTTGGTTCTTTCAAATTTTTGATTTCAGGTAATGGTTTATTATAATTAATTGAAGTATTTCTTGTACTTGATCTTGATAATCCAACATAAGAAGATCTTCTTGAAACAGGTTGTGAAGAAGATGAAATTCTTCTATTCTTTGCAAATGAAGAACTGTTCGATTCAATTGAAGATTTTAAAAGATAATTATTTGAATTAATTAAAATTTCCAATAATTTTGAATTTTTATAATTATGACGTTGTAATTCTAAAGATGATAAAATTTCAGGTATAAAATTTGAAAAATCTGATGAATTTATAGTATATTTATTAAAATCACTTGAAATATCAAGATTTTGTAAAATTATTGTATCATCTTCATCATTATAAGTTGCTGAAATAGCTGCAAATAAATTATAATCAATTAAAATTTTAGAATTAAGATCAACATTTAAAAATAATGCAATTGATGATTTTGAAATTTCTTTTGAATAAATTGATTTTTCATGTGCAGTTGAATAAATTGTAAAACCTAGACCTAAACTTTTGAACAAATGAAATGGAGTTGATTTATTTAAAATTTTTGCCTTATTTAATAAACTTAGGAATTTATTACTATTTTCCACTTTATAAACTAATGTATTGTTTTCCCCATTTTTATTGAATATAATTTTTAAATTATTATTATTAAATGTTGTAATTTCAAAATCATTAATCATTGACCAATTTCTAATCTTTAAATTTGGTATATTTTTCATTGGCTTTTCATTCATTAATGAATTCATAATTATATCAGAAATTTTTGGTTTTAATAAATTATTATTATCATCATGATCATTATCAACACTTGCAAATATAACATAATCATTAAATAATACAATAACATCATCTTTTAAATCAATTAAATTTTTAGCATCAAAAACAGAAACAACTTTTCTATTAAGCCAACCATAAGTTAAAGTTGAAGGAACACCATCAACAATTTCAGTTAATACCTTACCAGAAGGTGTAAAAATTCTTTTTGAATATGGTTTTAAATTATCTTTTGCAAATGAATCAATAGTTTCCACAGAATTTTTATAATAAAATTTAACTAATTCATTTTCTTGATCATTTTCCCAATTTTTAGTATTAATTAATCTTTCCAAGATTAATTTAAATTTTGTTAAATTTATTGATGAATTCATTATAGTTTCAAGTTTTAATTCAGAAAAATTTGGTTGAATTTCAAAAGGATAATCACGACAAAATTTTTTTAAATATGAAGAAAATAATTTTAAAGCAGATTCATGTCTCATATAAGCTTTATAAAAATGAGGTAAAGTTAAACCACAAGCTTTAACAATTTCAAAACTACCAAATTCAATTGCAGTTTGTAAAGCTTCTAATAAGATACAATTAATTCTTGTAATTTCATCAATAGTTGGAGGGAAAATTTGATTAAATTTTTCAATATTTAAATCCTGGAATTCATTATTTAATACTTTAACTCTAAGTGGGATAACAAAATTTTGTAAAAAATTTATAAGAATTTTTGTTTGATTTTCTTGAAATTTTAATAATTCATTACAAATTGAATTTGAAAGCCCATCATCTTTATTAGGAGTTGTTGTTGAATTTAAAGGTGGTTGATATAATTGAATTTTATCTTCAGGAGAATATTCAGTTAATGGATCAAATAATTGTTCAACTTGTTCACCTAATAAATAAACTAATTTATTATTTGATTCAATAATTTCTGGATTATCTTCATAAATCACATCCAAAACTGTGGATTCAATAAAATGAGGTTGTAAATAACCTAAACTAATTAATTTTGAACCAATATTTTCTGGAGTCAAACCTTTAACTAATTGCATCTGAGAAGCCATTTCACCAGCAATAGTTTCATCCCATTCAATATTATTATTATTATTATTACTCAAACCAGTTGAGTTTAAAATTAAATTATAATCAATTGAACTATAAGTTTTCAATAGAGTAATAGCTAAAGCTCTTCTAACATTTGATTTTCTATGATTAATTTGTAAATTTTCACAAGCAACGAAAAATCTTGATTTATTATCCAAAGTTAAAGAATTAAAACATAATTCACCAAAAGATGAAAAGATCACTGTACTAATTTTTTTTGAATCTGGATCTTCATAAACCATTATGATGACATCTTTCAATATTTGGTCAAAGCCATGGAAAAAGGCAGAAGATGGGAAGATATCTAACCATTCATTTTTAGTTCTATGATTATTATTTATATTGGAAAAGATGTTGTTGTTTAATTTGACAGTGTTGAAACCTTGATGAACTTCATCCACTTTGGAAGTGTCGTGGTGGTCAATGTCCATTGTGTGGTATCAGCAATTGATAGTTATTGGTTAGCTGATATAATATAATATAATAATTTCACTGTTTTGTTAATAAAATCAATTTATTTTCAAATTTGTTTGTTTTGGGATTTTTTGAAAAGTAAACAAAGAAAATTGAAATTAAAATTGTTGTCATGGAAATGTGGAAATAAAATTATGTAATCAATTGAAGAGTCGCGAAATTTCATACGCGTTTATTTTATTATACTATAGACTATTGATTATATACTATACTATTATTATACTATAAACTATTGATTGTTATAGATTGTTATAGATTATTTATTGTTTGATTACATTACCCACCATGGAACTAGACGTACTAGTCAACTTACAATCAGACAACACATATAGACTAGTGGAACTATCACCAGAATTACAATCTTTATTAGAAGAAAATAATGAATCATTATACATCAAAGCATCAACTGAAGAAAATGATATAGTATTATGTTCTGAAACTCAAACATTCCAATTAAAACAAAGAAATCATTCAAATACAGTATTATTAATGAAATACTTGGGGCTGGGGGATAATACATTACAAAGTTATTCATTACAATCAAATGTTTTTGAAATTAAACCAATAAAGGGAACAATTAGTCCCATTAATATACCAATTTATGATGGTCAAGGAAATTTCATTAAAAATGGTAATAATATAACTGTACAGTATTTAAAAGATAATTCTCCCATATCAACAAATGAATTTGATAAAGTTTGGTTTGAATTAAATGGTTCTCAATTAAACGATAGAGCAATAATTTTATCAAGAGATTTTATAAATAAATCTTTACATTTATTAATAATGTCTATAATGGCTGCTAATTTAGATATTAATGAATTATCATTAATTGAAGTTTATAAAACTTTGAGTGAAGATGATGATTATTCAATTGATATTGTGGAAACTATCTTGAGAAAATATTCAAATGAAGATTCAGAACCTTTCAGTTTAAACAAGATCAAAATTGCTCAATGGTATGGTATTGAATCATTGAAAAAATTTGCATCAAATGATAAATTAATATCTCCATCTGAATTTTTAATTAAATGGAAATCTGAATTCCCTCCATTTTTTGATATATCAATTGATTTACCTTTATTAAAAGGTTATTATGTTAAACCATTACCTGATAGAATTAAATATATGCCATGGGATAAATTATCAAAAGATATTAATGAACGATTAAACACTTTGTTTAAAAATCAATCAACTTGGGAATTAGATGATTTAATTCCATATATTCAAGAATTTAATACTAAAAACTTAAAATTTGAAAATTTTATAATGAAATTTGCCAAAAAGAAAAAAATTGGTAAAAAAATTATAATTACATCAAGATAGAATAAAAAATAGATCTATATGCATTAATATATAACGACTTATATGACAAATCATCAATCATAAACATAAATCACGTAGTTGTAGTTATTCATTCATTTATTTTTCTTAACACTGGTCAACAATGTATTAACAGTTTCATAAACTCCCAAAAAAATAGCACCACCAGCACTAATCCACATTGTTCTTGGTCCAATACCTTTCCAAAAAACTTTAAAACCTTCTTCTTTAAAAATTAATTTTGCTAAATAAAACACAGAAACTCTACTTTCATTCAACATTATTCTTGTCTTTAGAACATCTAATGGTGTAGTTAATGCTGCTGCAACACCTCCTGCAATGGAACCACAAATTGCACCTTGTATAGGATTTACTGTTTGAGTTTTTTGTTTTTGTGCCCATGTTTTCTTTAACCATTCATACAATGGGAATTGAATTATTGTAAATGGAATTTCTCTCAAGATAGTAGTACTCCAACCTCTATAAAAACCTTTAATTAAACCTTCTTTATTTTCATTTTTAAGTAAAATTTTAAAAGTATCTAATGAAGAATTTGATATTGAAGTTTGTGTACGTTGTTTTATAACTTCTGCAGGGACTCTAACCAAACAAGCAGTAATTTCACCCAAAGAAGCAGAAATCATATGAGTTATTGTAGTTGATAAATTTTCTCTTCCTGGTAAAAATCCAGAAATTATTGGTTTTAACTTTAATTTCATTGTATCATATGTTACAAAAAATAATGAAGCTGATGGTGCAGATGCTATAACTGCTGAACCTAACCCTCTATATATTCCTTTATAACCACCATTTTGGAAAAATCCACCTTTAGCTTGTAATCTTGTCTTGACTGTATCTATGGGGAAAAATGTTAAATCAGTTGAAGTACCAGCTGCAGCACCACTCTATTAATGTTATTAGTATATGATGATAGATAATATAATCAATTGTACTCAATGTTAACATACCAAAAGAGATATAAAGAAATCATTGGAAGTGGACATGTCCTATGTGTTTCTTTTGTATAATAAATGAATGAATTGGATTAATATCTTGTCTTTCTAGATCTATAATGGTTAAGATGTCAAAGATCAATATTTTTCACCTTCAATGATGTCCGAGATGGGAAATTGGGTGGTTTTGGCACTTCAGATTTGTTTTTGGTAAATTATTTGAGTCATTTGATTCATAAATTATAGATTTATCAATGTTATTATATATTGATTCAATTATTGTATTATTATGTATTATTGGATTATTATATTATTGTATTGTATTGCCATTTGAATTAAAAATAATAATATATCAAAGTCTGAGCTTTTCTCATCGCTCCGTATTTAATATTTAATACCCGTTGATACTTGATCACATGTAAACTATTTATATAATAAAACTTTGGAATATTACAATTCTATATCAATTAAATACTAATAAAGTAAACAATTCTATCAATTATACACGATAATATACAACTATAACGTCTGCTTATTTACTTTAATTACGTTAATTATTATAAATGTAAAGATCCGGGTAACACACCTGCTTTTTTTTTCGCTATCAATTTATTTTATTAATCATATAAATCTTTTTGAACGATCCCGTTAATTTATAATCAATTGAATTTAAACAACAATTATAATCAAGTTGGTATTTGATATTTATATAACTAAGTTATTGGTATTGTTCTAGTTCATCACTCATCAAACACACAGAGTGACAAAGAAAATAACGGGTTCAATAACTAGGTTTTTATATCTGATTGCCACTATTATATTCATATCCATATTCATCCACATAATCCACAATGCATTGTGTTAAAAATATAATAAAAGTATCAAGACCTTTGATACAGAAAAGATTATTAAATAATTCCGCAGTTAATCCTGCAACAAGTGCCTCTGCTGCTTCTACAATTTCAAATAAGATTAAAGAAGAATTACATAAACCAGGTCAAGATATTATTAAAAATGCATTCCAAGTTAATCAAGATAATGGGACAAGACCTATTTATTTAGATGCTCAAGCTACTACTCCAACTGATCCAAGAGTTTTGGATGTTATGCTTAAATTTTATACTGGTTTATATGGTAATCCTCATTCAAATACACATGCTTATGGTTGGGAAACTGATAAAGAAATTGAAAAATCAAGAAAACAAGTTGCTGATTTAATTGGTGCTGATCCAAAGGAAATTATATTTACAAGTGGTGCAACTGAATCAAATAATATGGCTATAAAAGGTGTTCCAAGATTTTATAACAAGACTAAAAAACATATTATAACTTCCAAGACTGAACATAAATGTATCTTGGATTCTGCGAGACATTTACAAGATGAAGGTTTTGATGTTACTTATCTTTCAGTTAATGAAGATGGATTAATTGATTTAGAAGAATTAGAAAAAGCTATAAGAAAAGATACTGTCTTGGTTTCAATCATGGCTGTTAATAATGAAATTGGTGTTATTCAACCAATTGAAGAAATTGGTAAAATTTGTCGTAAAAATAAAATTTTTTTCCATTCTGATTGTGCTCAAGCCGTTGGTAAAATTCCAATTGATGTTAATAAGATGAATATTGATTTAATGTCAATTTCATCTCATAAAATTTATGGTCCAAAAGGTGTTGGTGCAATTTATGTTAGAAGAAGACCAAGAGTTAGAATGGATCCAATTATTACAGGTGGTGGTCAAGAACGTGGGTTAAGATCAGGTACTTTATCACCTCCATTAATTACAGGTTTTGGTGAAGCTTGTAGAATTATTAAAGAAGATATGTCATATGATCAAAAACATATTGAAAGATTATCAAAAAAATTAATGGATGGTTTATTATCAATGGAACATACTCAATTAAATGGTTCAAAACAACATAGATATGCTGGTTGTGTTAATGTTTCATTTGCTTATATTGAAGGTGAATCTTTATTAATGGCTTTAAAAGATATTGCCCTAAGTTCAGGTTCTGCATGTACTTCTGCTTCATTAGAACCTTCTTATGTTTTACATGCTTTAGGTGCAGATGATGCACTTGCACATTCTTCAATTAGATTTGGTATTGGTAGATTTACAACAGATGAAGAAATTGATTATGTTATTAAAGCTATTAATGAACGTGTTGAATTCTTAAGAGAATTATCTCCATTATGGGAAATGGTTAAAGAAGGTATTGATTTAAATTCTATTGAATGGTCTGGTCATTGAATGATTATTTTGATTTTTTTATTTGATTTTAAAAAAACACACAAACAAGAAACTGTCTGATTTTTGGAAACAATCATATGTAAATATATATATTTTAAATTAAAACCATGGTTATATTGGTTTTTATTTTGTTAATGGATTAACGTATTTAAATTTTAAATTTTGGTGTAGTTTTTAATTCCTTGACAGGTTTTAATTTTCTCCGAATTTCGGGCCTGTAACCGGAATGATGTGTCGATTCTGAAAAATGGGTTGACTGATTTAATTTTGATTGTATTTAATACTCATCCACAAATCCATTGAAAAGAATCTATTTTATAGTCAATTCAATAATTAATCAAAATCCAAAATGAGTGAAACTAAAAATATTGTCATCTTACCAGGTGATCATGTCGGTACAGAAGTTACAAATGAAGCTATTAAAGTTTTAAAAGCAATTGAACAAGTTCGTCCAAATGTTAAATTTAATTTTCAACATCATTTAATTGGTGGTGCTGCAATTGATGCTACAGGTGTTCCATTACCTGATGAAGCTTTAGAAGCTTCTAAAAAGGCAGATGCTGTTTTATTAGGTGCTGTTGGTGGTCCAAAATGGGGGACTGGTGATGTTAGACCTGAACAAGGTTTATTAAAAATTAGAAAAGAATTAAATTTATATGCAAATTTAAGACCATGTAATTTTGCAAGTGAATCAACATTGGATCTTTCACCAATTAGACCAGAATTTGCAAGAGGTACTGATTTTACCGTTGTTAGAGAATTGGTTGGCGGTATTTATTTTGGTGAAAGAAAAGAAGATGATGGTTCAGGTATTGCATCAGATACTGAAACTTATTCTGTACCAGAAGTTCAAAGAATTACAAGAATGGCTGCTTTCATGGCTTTACAACATAATCCTCCATTACCAATTTGGTCATTAGATAAGGCAAATGTTTTAGCTTCATCAAGATTATGGAGAAAAACAGTTACTGAAACTATTGCAAATGAATTTCCAACTTTAAAAGTTCAACATCAATTAATTGATTCTGCTGCAATGATTTTAATTAAATCTCCAACTACATTAAATGGTATTGTTATTACATCAAATATGTTTGGTGATATTATTTCAGATGAAGCTTCAGTTATCCCAGGTTCATTAGGTTTATTACCTTCAGCCTCATTAGCTTCATTACCTGATACTAATAAAGCTTTTGGTCTTTATGAACCATGTCATGGTTCTGCACCAGATTTACCAGAGAATAAAGTCAATCCAATTGCTACAATTTTATCAGCTGCAATGATGTTAAAACTTTCATTAGATTTATTTGAAGAAGGTGTTGCTGTGGAAAAAGCTGTTAAAGATGTTTTAGATGCTGGTATTAGAACTGGTGATTTAAAAGGTACTAATTCAACTCAAGAAGTTGGTGATGCTATTGCTGAAGCTGTTAAAAAGAATTTACAATAGATTTTGAAAATAAAAAATAAGGTTATTGAAACAGGTTTTGATAATAATTATAAATAGTTTATAAATATAAGTAAATATTGTTATTAACTACTGTAATTCATGACACCTAAAAATATGCTTAATTATTTAAATTTAATATCTAATATACAATAATAACAAATGTTTCATGTCCATTAATTTTGTTGAGAAATGAATTCATCAATATCAACTTCTAAAATTGGAGCAGAACCTCTTTGTGAAAAAGTTTTATTTTCTTTTTGAGATTCTCTTTTTTCTAATTTTTTTAATTTTGCTAATGGACCAAATCCAACAATATCATTATTTAATTCAAAAGGGTTTAAAAAATATGAAACAATTTTAAAATTTTCACCCAATGTAACAATTTCATGAATTAAATCTTCAATACAAATAATTCCTTCATCACCTAATTTTTCTTCCACAATATTATTATCATTTAATTTAATAGTTTTAAAACCTTCACCTTCATCATTTGAGACATTAATAGTTGCTCTTTTTTGAATTAATTGTCTAACACTTTGTAATGATGGTTTACCAATAACTGTATATGGAGAAATTAATTTAATTAATGGATAAATAGATTCAGTTAATTTAATGAAAACACCAGTATTTATATGAGTTAATCTTAATAAATTTAAAATTTTTTGAATTTTTGATGGAATTTTAACACCATGTGGACCATTTATTCTAATAATGAAAAATAAAGTTGGTTCACCATTATATAAATTTTTTGATTTAATACCATTTGAATTTATTTTTTCAATATAATGTTTATTTTCATTTGAATTACTTATAGAATTTCTTTCTATTTTTGAAACTCTTTTAACTCTTTCATGTTCTCTTTTTGATGCTAAATTTTTAGCAACAAGAGTTTCAGCTCTAATAAATCTATTTTTTTTTAAACTCTTCTTTCTTTTAGCTTCTTCTTGTCTTTTTCTAGCATCTTCTTGTTTTTCTATTCTTAATCTATCAGCATTTTTTCTCTTACGTAAAAGAATTTCAGGATTTGAGTTTAATTCAACCATTTTGTGTGTTTATTTGATCTTTAAGGACTTAAAGTTGGGTTGTTGTATTAGATCAAATCATTTATACCATAGTTAAAGGTCTTCCTCATCTCTTTAAAATTTTTTTTTACCTAATTTTTTATTGTCACGTAAAATCTGTCAAAAGATTTTTTTTTTTTTTTTTTTATTTTTTGTTTTTTTGTTGATAGAAAAAG